ATGTCAAGTGCATCTGGGTCTCCCTCAGGGGCAAGCAGCATGGTCGCGTGATGGGGTGAAGCGGCCGCAAGGCACTCCAGCTCCTCCTGCCTGTCCTCAAGAACGTCACAGCCAAGGGCAGTGCAGCAAAGAGCAGTCTCACCCCCGACGGACGGAGGACAGGCAGGGACAGGGTCAGAGACAAGACTCGCAAGGTAGTCGAGGCGGTACACAGCAGCAAAGTCAACGAGCTCAGCTACTAGGGCAGACGCAGCAGGAGACGAGAACGTAGGGTCCGTCACAACCGTAGCAAGAAGGTGAGTAACAGTCGGACTGGACGCACGAGCAACGTCAGACGGAGGGTCAGCAATGTAAGGCAGAGAGGACGCAGGAGGTAACGGTAGTACAACACGCTGAGGAACAGAGGAAGGACGGAGTGTCATATCGTGAGTGCCGGGGACAGCCGGAGCACGCGGACGACGAGTACGAGAAACACGAGCACGGACAGCAGCTCTAGGCTCAGGCTCAAGGTCAAAGCTAGACTCAGGCTCTCGACGCTCAGGGGTGGAAGCACGAGTCTCAGGCTCTCGACGCTCAGTCTGGGACTGTGTCACCGCAGTGTAAGGAGCAGGAGCAGGCAGTGGGGAGTGCAGTAGCAGCGGCGGCTGTGACTGGTCCGCCGGAGGAAACAGTAGCGGAGGAGTAGTACCTGCCACAGGGAAGTCAGTAGCACCTGGCGGAAGACTGAGAAGGTGGCGAAGAGCACCAGCAGCTCCCGTACCTCCAGCACGAGCAGCTCCTCCAGTACCCCTAGCAACACCTCCAGCACCAGTAGCACCAGCACCTCCAGCACCACGAGCTCCGACAGCGCCAGCACCTCGAGCACCAGTAGTACCTCCAGCACCTCCAGTGCCTCCAGCTCCAGCTCCAGCTCCTCCAGCACCAGTAGTACCTCCAGTACCTCCTGTGCCAGCAGCTCCAGTAGCAACTCCAGCACCTCCAGCACCAGCAGCACCACCTGCTCCGGCAGCTCCAGCACCTCCAGTACGAGCACCTCCGGGGCCAGTAGCTCCAGCACCTCCAGTACCTCCAGCACCAGCACCTCCAGGGTCAGCAGCTCCCGCACCCCCAGCACCTCTAGTAACAGGAGTACCTCCAGCACCAGCAGCTCCAGTACCTCCAGCTCCAGGACCTCCAGCACCGGCAGCACCTCCAGTAGTAGCACCTCCAGACCTCCAGCACCAGCAGCAGCTCCAGTACCCCCAGCACCAGCAACACCTCTAGCACCAGCAGTACCTCTAGTACCTCCAGTAGTACCTCCAGCACCTCCAGCACCAGCAGCACCTCCTGGACTAGTAGCTCCAGCACCAGCCGGACCGTACCCTCCACCACCAGGACTGCCTCGTCGAACGACCCACGCACGATTCGCCTGCGGCGAGAGCGTCTCAAGTAGAGCAGGCTGCGGTGGCTGTCCAGCTCCAGTACCTCCAGTAGTGGTAGCTCTAGCACCTCCAGCACCAGAAGCACCTCTAGTACCTCCAGCTCCAGCACCTCCAGCACCAGCTACAGCTCCAGTACCTCCAGTAGTACCTCCAGGCCCAGTAGCTCCAGTACCTCCAGCTCCAGGACCTCCAGAAGGACTCGCAGCACCCCCAGAGTCAGCACCCGAAGTCTCAGCACCCCCAGAGTCAGCACCCAAAGTCTCAGTACCCCCAGGCTCAGTACCCTCAGGCTCAGTACCCTCAGTCCCAGCACCCGCAGGCTCAGTACTCTCAGTCCCAGCACCCGCAGGCTCAGTACCCTCAGTCCCAGCACCCGCAGGCTCAGTACCCTCAGTCCCAGCACCCGCAGGCTCAGGACCCTCAGGCTCAGCTCCAGTGTCCACTGCAGAAGGCTGCAGAGGCGGGAAACCGGGGGGGGTAGCCAAACGAGGAGAGCAGTCACCCCCAGACGTACCACTCCCAGGCCCAGCTCCAGAAGCCTCAGCTCCAGAGTCCACAGCAGCAGGCTACGGAGGTGGCGAAGACGGCCGAGGCGGGAAACCGGGGGGGGTCTCCAAGCGAGGAGTGCGGCGAGTGGTCGCCGTGTCGTCGGCGGCGGTGTCACCCCCCTCAGCTGGGTCAGAGGAGTCAGAAGAGATCTCCACTGGCTCATCCAAGGGGGGCGGGTCTACCTGAGACACACCTAAGGGAGCAGGACCCTGTGGGGGAAGGGGGTCTACCGGGGGGGGGACTGGTACCAGGAAGAGGGGACCGGGTGGGACGCGTGTGGGTGAAGTCGGTAGTAACAGATCGACTCGTCGAAGGTGACGTCCTGAGAGGACAGAAAACGACGCGAGGCAGGGTGGTAGAACTGCTAGGGTGGAGCGTCGGTGGGGAAGCCCAGGAAGACACAGCGGAGAGTGCGAGGAGAGAGCTTGCTCGCTTTGGTATCGCGAACAAGGGAGAGCGCGCCCCAGACCCGAAACGACGATGCATCACCAGGCTGTCCCGTCCAACGGAGTGTGGGCGAGGTCTCTGGAGCAGAGACACGGGGCCAGAGGTTGAGCTGATGCGCGGCGTATCGGACCGCAAACGGCCACAGGAAATGGGGAGCAGCCGCATGGATCATGGAGGTACGAGCAACCTCCATGATCAGGCCAATGCGACGCTCAGCGATCCCATTTTGCTGCGGAGAGGCCGGAAGCGTGAACGACTGGGCGATGCCCTCATCCTGGCAGAACGTCTCAAGGACGCCAGAGGAGAACTCACCACCCCTGTCAGAGTGCAGACGCAGGACTGGGAAGCCCTGCTGAAAGCGCTCGTGCAGCTGGAGACGAGTAGCACGGATCCAGGGGATCAAAACACCGCTGACGTCCGCCTTGCGACGCAAGGGGAAGACTATGGTGTAGCGTGTGTAGTCGTCAACAACCAGCAGGAAGTAGCGCTCCAGGTCCGTCCCACTGACGGGGGCCGGGCCCCACACGTCCAGGTGGAGAGTCTGCAGAGGAGCAGTGGTCGGAGGAAACTCGGAGGAGTGAGGAGCGGCGCGCTGCCGCCCCTCGACGCAAGGAAGGCACGGCGGGGCAAGCGAGCGCGGCAGGGGGGGGCAGGGTCCTAGGGAGGCCAGAGACAAGGAGACGGGAGTGCATACTGCGTAGACGCTGCAGGGAGGGGTGACCAAGACAGTGGTGCCAGCGCTGAGTCTCGTGCGTGAGTACTCTGTACGAGCAAGACGCAGCTAACTGCCCCGACGCAGACGCCCGACTCGACGCAGCCACCTGACCTGACTCAGCCACCTCGTGCAGACGCAGTGGTCAGTGTGTACAGACTAGACCCAGGCTGTCGAGTGAACGTAGCCAGGTGACGGCCAGTCCGGGAGCACGTACAGATCGCCACACGCTGCCCTCCAGGAATAAAGGTATCAACCCAGACATCCTGAATGGCAGCGTTGCTCACCAAGTTCGTCGAGAACGTGGGGAGGTGGAGACCTGACAGAGAGCCGGAGGGGACTGCTGGACAAGGGAGGACCGTGGAGGCTCTCGCAACTACAGGGCCCCCAGAGGGGTCAGCCAGTGAGACTGGGACAGGTGCTGCGAGTGGTGTGACTGTGGTGCAATCACGAAAGAAGCAACGTGACGCACCTGAGTCAAGCGTGAAAGTCTGCAAGACCGCAGCTGAGGCAGGACCTGTGGCAGTAGACGCACTAGCATCTAGAGCGTCGGCAGACTCACGGGCACCTAGAGCTGCAGCAGACTCACCAGCACCTGGAGCAGCAGCAGACTCACTAGAACCGAGAGCAGGAACCTCTACACAGCCAGGGACGCATCGCTGAGAAGCACAGTCGCGACGTCGCTTAGGCCATGTATAACCAAAACCTCCACCACCAGGACCAGCTCGCTGAACAACCCACTCACGAAGCTGCTGAGGGGTGGGGTCGTCCGGAAGAGGCAGTGCCCGCTGCTGTCCACCCCTGGTCGCAGCAACTGCCGCGATAGTGGCCATGACAGACAGCGACGGTCATGAGTAGGTCCAGCACCTCCAGCTCCTCCAGCACCAGCAGCACCTCCAGCACTCCCAGTAGCACCTCCACCAACAGCAACAGTAGCACAAGTAGCAGCAGTAGTAGTAGTTTTTTTTTTTTTTTTTTTTTTTTTTTTTTTTTTTTTTTTTTTTTTTTTTTTTTTTTTTAGGGTTTAGGGTTGCGCGCGGCTCACGGGCTGCAGGGGCGACGCGCGGCTTGGCAGGGCGGCGCGCGGGATGCAGGGGCAGCGCCCACGGGCTGCAGGGGCGACGCGCAGCTCGGCAGGGCGGCGCGCTGGCTGTAGGGGCGGCGCGCGGCTCGGCAGGGCGGCGCCCAGGCTGCAGGGGCGACGGGCGACGCTCGGCTCGGCAAGGCGGTGTCACGAGACGAACTTAGCTAGGAACGGGTTTAACTAAGGGCCTAGGCTTAGTAGCCTAGGCCAAGCGGGTGTCGAGGGAGTTGTGCCAAGAGAGAATCGAGAATGTGTGTCTTCACTATAGGTTTGCAAGAACATATAGCAAAGAAACAAAGAGGTGCACCACCACAACAAAGAAACATAACTACACTAAAGCTAAAGCTACAGGCAGTTATAAACATATATAAATATATATCGCGACACACCCCCTTAACTGCCTGCAGCACATAGCTAGAGCAAGTCACACCCCCTGAAGGGGCAGGTGCGGTGGGAGACGGCAGAGGGGTACGTGAGGAGGAGGAGGCAAGAGGAAGAGAGGAGAGGAGAATAGATAAGAACACAGGAGGAGGTGAGTGGGGGATGAGGAGAGGAGGTGGGGGGTGGCCGCAGCGTCCCCTCTTACTAACCCCCTTTTACGAAAGGGGGGGTTGACTGGGGGATGAGGAGAAGAGGTGGGGGGGTGGCCGCAGCGTCCCCTCTTACTAACCCCCACATCCCCACCCCCAACCAACCACCCGCCCTCAACCTCACCCCCCATTTCAGTCGCCCCCTGGAACCGCACTCCCTCCACCCCTGTCTTCCTCCATACCTCTCCCAACCCACGATGGTCCCTGTACAGTCTTTCACAGGTGGGCTGCTGGGCACAGGTGGGGCTGCTGGTCACAGGTGGGGCTGCTGGTCACAGGTGGGGCTGCTGGTCACAGGTGGGGCTGCTGGTCACAGGTGGGGCTGCTGGTCACAGGTGGGGCTGCTGGTCACAGGTAGGGCTGCTGGTCACAGGTGGGGCTGCTGGTCACAGGTGGGGCTGCTGGTCACAGGTGGGGCTGCTGGTCACAGGTGGGGCTGCTGGTCATAGGTGGGGCTGCTGGTCACAGGTGGGGCTGCTGGTCACAGGTGGGGCTGCTGGTCACAGGTGGGGTTGCTGGTGCTGGTGCTGGCGGCTGGCGCTGGTGCTGGTTCCTGGTGCTGGCAGCTGGCACTGGGGCTGGTTCCTGATGCTGGCGGCTGGCGCTGGGGCTGGTTCCTGGTGCTGGCGGCTGGCGCTGGTGCTGGTTCCTGGTGCTGGCGGCTGGCACTGGGGCTGGTTCCTGGTGCTGGCGGCCGGCGCTGGGGCTGGTTCCTGGTGCTGGCGACTGGCGCTGGGGCTGGTTCCTGGTGCTGGCGGCTGGCGCTGGGGCTGGTTCCTGGTGCTGGCGGCTGGCGCTGGGGCTGGTTCCTGGTGCTGGCGGCTGGCGCTGGGGCTGGTTCCTGGTGCTGGCGGCTGGCGCTGGGGCTGGTTCCTGGTGCTGGCGGCTGGCGCTGGTGCTGGTTCCTGGTGCTGGCGGCTGGCGCTGGTGCTGTTCCGCCACCACTCCCTTCCCCTCCTCTCTCTCCTTTCCACAGTGTCCCACCGCCACTCCCTTCCCCTCCTCCCTCTCCTCCCCATGGCGACCGCCGCTGCACACGCAAACAGTCGCGACGGGGGGGGGGGGGGGGTGACGGGCAGGGGGCGGGGGGAATGCGACGGGCAGAGCGGGCGAATGAGCGGCTGGGGCGATCGCCAGTGCTCTGGCGATCGTCGCTGGCGTTCCCCCGTCACTCCTATCCCCTCTTCCCTCTCGCCCCCACAGAGTTCCGCCGCCACTCCCATCCCTTCTTCCCTCTCCCCCCCACAGCGACCGCCGGTGTGACGGGCGAGGTGCAAGGTGGCGCTGGCTGCAGTCGATGGCGCAAACGCGATCGCGGGCCGCTGGCGACTTCGCTAGCGACTTCGCTGGCGGGTCGCTGGCGGCGGGTCCGCTGGCGTTCGCCATAGCGTCCGCCGCGCCCGTCGCGCTGAGAGCCGCGACGAGGCAGGCGACGGGGGGCAGCGCGAGCAGCAGGGAAAAAAAAAAAGATACGCAAGGTGCGGATTTCGCGCCACTAACTGTAGCAGTCGCGAAATGTGGTGGGCCCATAAACGAAATAGGTCCTAGGACGGACCACTCTGTTACCATGTCACGAGACGAACTTAGCTAGGAACGGGTTTAACTAAGGGCCTAGGCTTAGTAGCCTAGGCCAAGCGGGTGTCGAGGGAGTTGTGCCAAGAGAGAATCGAGAATGTGTGTCTTCACTATAGGTTTGCAAGAACATATAGCAAAGAAACAAAGAGGTGCACCACCACAACAAAGAAACATAACTACACTAAAGCTAAAGCTACAGGCAGTTATAAACATATATAAATATATATCGCGACAGGCGGCGCGCGGGCTGCAGGGGCAGCGCCCACGGGCTGCAGGGGCGACGTGCGGCTCCGCAGGGCGGCGTACGGGCTGCAGGGGCGACGCGCGGCTCTGCAGGGCGGCGTACGGGCTGCAGGGGCAGCGCCCACGGGCTGCAGGGGCAACGCGCGGCTCGGTAGGGCGGCGCGCGGGCTGCAGGGGCAGCGCCCACGGGCTGCAGGGGCGACGCGCGGCTCTGCAGGGCGGCGTACGGGCTGCAAGGGCGACGCGTGGCTCTGCAGGGCGGCGTACGGGCTGCAGGGGCAGCGCCCACGGGCTGCAGGGGCAACGCACGGCTCGGCAGGGCGGCGCGCGGGCTGCAGGGGCAGCTCCCACGGGCTGCAGGGGCGACGCGCGGCTCGGCAGGGCAGCGCGCGGGCTGCACAGGGCAACGAGCGGGCTGCAGGGGCAGCACGCGGGCCACAGGGGCAGGCACGGCTGCAGGGGCAGCACGGTCGCAGGGGCAGGCACGGCTGCAGGGGCAGCACGGTCGCAGGGGCAGGCACGGCTGCAGGGGCAGCACGGTCGCAGGGGCGAGTACGGCTGCAGGGGCAGCACGGTCGCAGGGGCGAGCACGGCTGAAGGGGCAGCGCGGTCGCAGGGGCAGCACGCGGGCTGCAAGGACAGCGCGGCTGCAGGGGCAGCGTAGGAAGAAAAAATTTACGGTTAGGGCAAGGCGGAACGTTCGGTGGGCCCTAGGAACGATTCTGCTCTAATACCATGTTAGAATAAGCAGGAATGAATGGGTGAACTAGGCAAGAGGTGAGTACAAATAGGGGAAACCTAACCCTAAAGTGTTGTACTCACTAAGGAGTGACCCTACTGTAGCCTAGAGATACAATTGTAATTTGACAGCGTGTGCCTACTGTTAATATAAAGGAGTACAAATGATTGAATTAGGTCAAGGGGGTACAAGCAAACTGTCGAGAAGGTTTCTGTACCCTAAAGCTAGCCTTAATATAGCCTAATTAAACAAGAACATAAATGTTTTGACACACCCCCATAGGCTAAGTGGGGAATAGCCAGAGCAAGTAATGTTCACAAGACTTAAAGAGAAACAACAAAGCAAAGCTCAGGGTGGATCTCAAAATCACCACACAGTCCGAGTACAAGCAAACAGTTATAATAGCAAAAGCAGTACCCTGATCATAACGTAGCAAGTGTAAACATGCCGGTATATAGATATATAGCAGTGTACAACAAGGCCAAGGCAAGATCACGAGACAAGCAAGTGAGGCAGAGTGGGCACAAGCCCAAGAGCAGTGCAGAAACGCTGATATCACCAGACCCCAGGGCCTTGGTGAAGATATCAGCAGTGTTGGCCTGTGAGGCCACGTACCATCACCCCCCGGATAAGCCCGCCCCTGGGGGTATAATAAAACACGGTTTTTTAGGGGGGTGGGCTTATAATCGAGGATTTTTATAAGCGCCGGCGTTTATATTATGGCATTAATGAAATGTATTTCTTTTTTAAATGGAAACGAAGCGTGTTGAAGGGCGGATTCACCTGAATCGAGAACGTTCGAAACTGTGCATGAATTCTGCGTGAAAAGGCCAACAAGGCGTGGATTCACGCCTTCCACGCCTTGTTGGCCAGGCCAGGTTCATCGAACGGGAACCTGACCCATGCCAGCGCACACGCAGTTCGCATCACACTGCCCAATCAGGGTTGCATGCGGTCCAGAGCACGTCATGCTTCAGCCACGAAGTGCCCATCCAGAGGCAAAGAGCTGACCAGCTCAGCTCATCTGCAGGGAATCTTGACTGTGGCCACCCCTTCCCCGCAGAGGAGGCCGGGCCGCGAAACTGGAGGGGTCTCGGACGAGGGTTTCATACCGCCCTCATTCTCCCAGTTCTCTTCAGTTTTGTTCTTTCGTTTGGCCTGTCGTGGCCATGGCGGGCCTTCCAGGCACGCACTTCCTGTTCCGCCGCCAACCTGCTGCTAGAGACAACCGTGACTATTCGCAATGGCAGAGGCGCCCTGTGCCCGTCCCTTCAACACAGCCAGTCGTGCCTCTCGTTCCTCCCACTCCTCCAACGCCTCCTAACCCTCCCACTCCCCGGGCGCCTCCCGTTCCTCCCGCTCCTCCGTCCCCTCCTGATCCGCCTGTCATCGGAGTTCCACGTCAGGGGGTTCTGCAGCTTCTCCTCCCTCCTGGCTACTCAGCGTTCGACGCTTACCTGTCTGAGCCCGACCGCAGCGGCGCCGAAGCATCTTTCTCCGCACTGTCGCCACGCTGGGGAACCCCGGCTGATTGCCCTTTGGAAGATTCCGCGACGGGTGCCGAAGACGATGTGGAGTTCTGGGCTGCCGACGGTCTTCCCGTGCACCTGCCTATTCCCACATTTCCCCCTCCTAATAAAAAACGGCCTCACCCTTCTCGAGAGAATCGCGATGCCCGTCCTCCCTCCCCCTGGCACAAGCCTACAACTCACAAGCGCCAGTCGTATACCTCCCAGGAGAAGCTACAGTGGATTCTGAAGCTTGAATTCGGGGAGATGAGTGTGCGGAGGATGTCCCGCGAAACCGGCATCTCCCAAAGGTCACTCGCAGAGTGGAAGACCCGGAAAACTGAGCTAGAGGGCGCCCATGCGGCTCGCAAGCGCCTTCACGGTCGCGGAAGGAGCTCGTGGTACCGCGATATGGAAGCGGAAGTCTACAGGAATTATCTTGCCCCACCGTAAGAAGTGTCTAGCCATCTCGGTGGCACGCCTGCAGAAGTGGTCGCACGAGGTGATGAAAGAACTGCATCCAGGTGAAAAGGGGGGAGCTCTCAGCGGTGGACTGAGCGCTTTCGCCGACGTTGGAACCTGACAACCCGAGCGAAGAACCCGGGTCGGCCAAAAGCTTGCGGAAAGTGAGTTGCCTGTAAACCCGTCGTTAACGGTTTTGTGTTTTGTGTTGATTCATTGGTGCTCTCGTCAAACGCTAAGCATCCATCGCGTCTCTCTCATACTGTGTATGTTGTTTCTCTCGTTTCTCCCATCCATACTCCCAGACTGCGAGGGGGATGTCAGAAACTTATGGAAGTTTGTGCGACATACCCACCGCCAATACAAAATTGACCCGCAGTGGATTATTAGGGCGGACCAGACGCCACTCTGGCTCGAGATGCCAGCCGAACGCACCGTCGAGGAGGTGGGCTCGCGCTCTGTGCCCATCCGCAGCGGCGGCTATCAAAAGGAGCGAGTGACGGTGATGCTCGCCTGCACCGCCACCGGTGAAAAGCTGAAGCCGTGGGTCTTCTTCAAAAGGAAGACCGTCCCCAAAGGGAACTTCCCGTTAGGTAACTATTACAACATGTACATCTAACGGCTGCATGTGTAGTATCGTATGATTTACTAACATTCCTTGTTTGAATTTTGACTTGCAGATGTCGTCGTGTCCGCGCATCCCAACGGTTGGATAGACGCGGAGGGTGTCATCGCGTGGCTCGACGTGACGGTCAAGCCATACGTAAACCCGAAGTTCGGTGTCTGCCCCGGCAAAGCAGTGCTCGTCCTGGACTCGTACCGCGTGCACCTGACTGCGGTGGTAAGCAGAAGTTCGGCGAGCTGAATATTGTCCCTGCCGTCATCCCCGCTGGCTGCACCTCGGAGATTCAACCTCTCGATGTCGCGGTGAATCGATCCTTCCAAGGCTGCCGTTCGGCAGCCTTACCAGGAGTGGTTCGAGAGCGAGGGGGTCGACACCTTGACGGTGAAAGGTGAGACAATCCGCCCATGTGTTTGGTTGTTTACCGGTTTTATGAACCCTTCTGACTCTGGTTGTCTTGTTTTTCATGGCAGGCAAGAAAAAGAAGCCACCACCCGAGCTGACGCTCAATTCGATCTCCGCGGCTTGGAAGTCCGTGCCCAAGGACCTGATTCAACGGGCATTTCTCACCTGCGGCATCAGCAACGCCCTGGATGGGTCCCAGGACAAGCTCTGCATGCAACACAGGCGGGACGAGATCGAGGGCGACGCCGAGATGGATGATGAGATTGCAGCAGATGGGTTCTGCTGCAACAATGTGGAGGAGCCTGAGTCGGACTCCGAGGCCGACCCAGATGACCCCACCGCAGCTGATGACTAGAGTAGATGTAGGAGATCTTCTGTAGCCTGTGTTCGACCCTCGTAGGTAGATGTGTGGTATGTTTTAGAAAGCAACCGTAGATATGTAATTGTTCTAGTGATCTACTGTGATATTAAGTAGATTGAAACCATGCTAAATAGTAAAACTTAAAAATTTGGGTGGCGCTTATATTCTGTACGCCAGAAGTATGCGCTTATAATCCGTAAGCCCAAAATGTATGCGCTTATAATCGAGGACCGGATCTAAGCGCCATATGCTCATGATAAGCGCCGGGCGCTTATCCGAGGCCTGCGCTTATATCTGGGGGGTGACGGTAAGCAAGGCGAAGCTGATCACGCTTGTGAGGATCGACAG